TTCGCGTATGACACTGTCGAGATCTAATTTTTGGGATCGATCACACTCAATGCTCAACACAGCTAAGTTGGTTAATGGTTTTTGACTCATCGTACTTCCCAAATATGATTTAATTAATTTCAATTTAGAAAAAGATCTTTCTGCCGTTAAAAAATTATTGTTCATAAACAGAAACTTAGCAATATCTGTAATTTTAGTTATTTTTTGCTGAATAATTTCACCAACAACAATGTTTTTAAAACTAACGATTTGCCCACAGATTGCACTAGAAATATCTTCTTCGTATTTATTTGCCAACTTTGATGCTGCCTCCACAAATTCTTCGTCTGTAGTATTCAACATTTCCTGTGGTTCCAGAAAAGAAAAATACTTTCTGACGTTTTTCATGCTTTCAAACCTATCTTTAATTTGAATATTTAAAATATCAAGAGCAGGATAGAAAACGGTTGTTTTAAATTTTTTTTGTGGGATCTTTGAAAACGGTATCTTCATATTATTCGTCATGAAACAGTTTTACTTTTTTATACGTTTATTTGAAAAAGAATTGTTAATTTTCCAGATATCAGCACATTTCCTTGATTCCTCCATTATTTGTTCAAAATTGTCACGTATACTTTGAAATTTGTCTTTTAGATGTTCCATCCATTTACGAGCCTCATCTAAAGTAATATTTGAACTCTGTAAAGTTTTTGAGACCAAATTAACATTTTCTAAAATTTTGCATTGAAATACTAATAGAGCAACAAATTCAAATGAATCCATTTTTTTACGAAGAGCTTACAGCTTTATCTATTTCACTTTTCTTTTTTGATGTTAAAATAATTTCAGCTCATAACTGTTGAGAGATTATTATATCTAATGGCAATTAGAGAATCAAATCTCGATGTCCATCTGGTGGGGCATAACTTTTTTAAAGTTTTTTTTATAACACACTTATCATTTTCTTTCATCTCAATGTTGTTGTTGTTGTTGCCATCTCGGTAAACTCTCACTGAAATAGACGTATATAGCATTTATTAAATCATAAAATGCGGAAATTCCTGGCACATTCTTAACAGAATCATTAAGGACTAAATTGAGGTTATGTGTAGCGCAATGAACATATTCGGCGTAATAATGTTATTTCAAGTTCTTCATTTTTTTTATACCATTTTCCCGATTTTTTAATTTTCATTTGGATTTAATATCACAATTTTTCGTTTATTCAATTTTTCACATTTTCAATTCCTTGATTTTCCCATTTTCAATATTTAGATTTTACAATAATTTTCGTGTTTTCGACCGCAATTTTTCGATCTTTAAGTTTCTCAATTTTTAATCTTTCGATTTTTGAATTTTCCGTTTCTTCAATTTCTCAAGTTTTTCGATTTCTCGAAGCTTTCATTTTATACTTTTCCGTTTTTTCATTTTAAGTTTTCAATTTTACAATTTTTCTATTTTATAACTTTTCCATTTTATTTATTCGGAAAGTAGAAAATTCGAAAAATTGAACAATCGGAGAATTAAAAAATTGGAAAAAATTGAAGAAACAAAAAATTGCAAAATCGATAAAACGGAAAATCGAATGGAATTTGTTTTTACGATTTTTTAACTTCGGTTTTTTAAACTTTTTATCTGTGTTTCAATTTTTCGATTTTTGGAATTTTCTGTTTCTCACATTTATAGATTTTTTTGAGTTTTTCGATTTTTCCGTTTATCTTTTTTTTTAAGTAAATATTTCAATTTTGAATTTTCCAATTTCGGCATATTTCGATTTCTCGATCTTTTGAAGTCTGAAGTTTTCGATTTCGATTTCTTTGTTTTTCGATTTTTAAAATTTTCGATTTTTCTAGTATACATTTTAGATTTTCGATTTTTTTAATTTTTCATTTTTCCCTTTTATAATCTTTATGTTTCGATTTCACGATTTTAATTTTTTAATGTGTTTCAATTTTTCCATTTTTGGAATTTTCGATTTCTCATATCTCAATTTTCCAATTTTAAAAATTTTTCGATTTCTCCATTTTTAAGTTTTCGCTATCTCAATTTTAAACATCGCAATTTTGGGAATTTTTCAATTTCTATATTTTTCAGATTTTCGATATTTTCATTTTCCCGATTTTGTAATTTTCATTTTCTTGATTTTATATCACAATTTTTCATTTTTCCATTATCTTTATTTTTTCAATGTTTCTTTGGATTTTATTATTTTTTGTCTATTCAATTTTTTACATTTTCAATCTTTGATTTTTTAAGTTCTTGATTTCCAATTTTTTTATATTTCGAAGCTTTCATTTTGTACTTTTTCAGTTTTACAATTTTTCTATTTTATAATTTTTCGATTTTGTTTATTTGAAAAGTTAAAAACCCGAAAAAATGAAAAATTGAAACAATGAAAAACTAAAAACCGAGAAACTTAAAAATCTAAAATAAAATTTATGAATCGAAGAATGGGAAAGAAGAAAAACCATTCGAATTGAAAAATTGAAAAATCCAAAAATTGTAAAATCGAAAAATTATAGAATCTTGAAAATTGTAAAGTCCAAAAACTGTGACATTCAAACACCGAAAAATTGAAAAATTCCAAAAACGAAAAACTGAAAAAGTGAACAACTTTAAAAATTATAATTATTAGGAGTGTTACATAATTAAAATGAAAACTAGAAAAACTGCAAATGAAAAATTAAAAAAACGGAAAATTGAAAAAATAAAGAAAATTAAAAACCCACAGGAAAAATTGCAAATCGAAAAATTGACGAAATTAAAAACTGTAAACTCGTGAAATTTGCAAACTCTAAAATTTGAAACATCTAAAAGTTGGAAAATCAAAAACTGAAAAATGGAGAAATCGAAAATTTTCAAAAATCGAAAGATTGAAAAATCGAAATTTTGGAAAATCGAAAAACCGAGGAATTCAAACTGAAAAAAGATCGAGAATTCAAGATGCCGAAAAATCTAAATATCTAAAATTTAAAAAATAGAAAAATTACAATAACGAAAAATTTAACATTAAAAAAAAACACAAAATCGAAAAGTCGAAAAATCGAGTAATTGAGAAATGGAAAAATGAAAATTTAGCAAAAACCAAAAATTGAAAAGCATAAAAAAATTAAAATCGGGAATTCGGAACGTAAAAAAAATAAAATCGAAAAATTGAAAAATGTTAAATTTAAAAATTCGAAAACTTGAAAAACCGAAAAACTGAAGAAATGAAAAACCAAAAATCGGCAAATTGAAAAATCTCAAAACTGAAAAGTCGAAAAATTAAAAAACCCAAAAATCGATTTCCGGTAAGTCGAAAAATCAAAATTTAAAAAGTTGAAAAGTGAAAATATCAAATAACTGAAAAATATAGACATTGTCAAAATTGAAATCTTGAAAAATTGAGAAATCGAAAACTTGAAAAATCCAGAATCGAAAAAAAGAACGAAAAGTAAAAACATTTTAAAATCGAAAAAACAAAAAATCGAGATGTAAGAAATCGAAAATTCCAAAATCGAAAAAGTGGAGTACACGTTAAAAAGGTTAAAATCGGGAGATCGAAGCATAACAAAACATAAAATCGAAAAATGGAGAATTTTAAAAATCTAAAAACTTGAAGAAATAAAAAATTGAAAAATGGAAAAGCCGAGAAATCGAAATTAAAAAATTGAGACATCAAAAGATCCGAGAAATGGAGAAATCGAAATTGCCCGAAATCGAAAAACCGGAAAATTTAAAACTGAAATACATATTTAAACTTAAAAAAAAAACGATAAATCAAAATATTCAAAATTCGAAAAATCAGAAATTTTAAAAATCGAAAGATCGAGAAATCGATACATCAAAAAAGTGAAAAATTTTAAATTAAAAAATTGGAGATATTGAAAAATCCCAAAATTGGAACAACGAAAACTTGAGAAATCGAAAAACTGAAAAATCGATAAATTGCAAAGAGGAAAAATTGAAAAATCAAAGAATTGATTAATAGAGAAATTGAGAAATGTAAAAATGAATTTTTTTTTTAAATTGCAAAAATTGTAAAACTGAAATACCGAAAAATTAAGTAAACTAAAAATCGAGAAATCAAGAAATCGAAAAATTGTAATTCAATTTTATTTTATTTTTCCACAAAAATTTCGATGTCGAAGATAAAAATTCAACACATTCATAGACCATAGGTACACTGTTACTTTTTTTTTAATTTATATAACATTTATTTGACAAAATTGTAGAACTGAAGAAACGAAAAATAGAAACATTGAAAAACCAGAAATCGAGAAAAAATTAATGAATCAAAGAACGAATTAAATCGAAAAATGTTCGTAAAGTCTAAAAACTAACATTCAAAGATCGAAAAATTAAAAAATTCCAAAAACGAAAAATTTAAAAAGTGAACAACTCTAATAAAAATTATAATTATTATTACATATCTAAAATGAAAATTGGAAAACCTGCAAATCAAAAACTGAAGAAACGAAAAATTGAAAACAAAAAAAATTGAAAAATCCAAAAACTGAAAAATTTCAAATTGAGAAAAAGAAAAAACATAAAAACTCGTTCCTCGCGCGTTAAAATATCTCGATTATTAATCACCTTTATTAACAAATTTGTTCGTTAAATAGTCATTTTTACCCTAAAAAATTTTGAAAATGTTCAAAATCACACTTTAAAATCCAGTGTAAAATTTTTGGGTGTTTACATTGACAAATCCCTTAAATGGGGCAGACATATAGATTATTTGCATTAAATAAGCATATAAGTTTTAATATGCATAAAATTGAAAAAAACGCAAATAAGCATAAAAAAAAAAAATTGTCAAAAGACTCGAAATTGTATCATAGTTAGTAGTTACAGATATAACAAAATTTTGAAGTGCTTACATTTTTCACAAAAACATTAAACGTAGAAATCCGCTCTCTATTTATTACAAGATTTAAAACCACCAAGCAACATTGTCGTCTCATTTTTCGAAAAAGCGTCAACACTTTTCCTTCACCTTGCTAAGTGCGAATTAAGAACGCGTGAAATCTCGTTTCCAGCTCGTGACCCAGGAAAGGCGGCTGAGCACGACAGCGTCCAGGACAATGGCGGCGATGTCCTTGGGATTCATCGTCCTTGTCACTCCGTGGACCATCCAGGAAGTCGTTGCCGCCTGCACGGGATCGAGAGCCCCCGCCGCTCTCGACTTCTTGGCGACTTGGCTGGCGTTAAGCAACAGCTTCTGGAATCCCTTTCTGTATTGGCTTTTGAATAATAATTTTAGGAGGATAAGTAGGGAACTTTTATTTAGCAGAGTAAGTGGGGTTCATTACGGCGATAAATATTTATGGGGGAAGTTTTGTTGGGTGGTTGGTTTGTGTGTTATTGTTAATTCGGGCTAGTGCGGGCGGAGTGTGGGTGATTGAGCAATCACCATTTGTTGTATTTGTCGATGCGCAATTACTGAAGATGGATTTACGCGTTTTTGTTGCAATTTGAGCCGGGTTTTACGGAGTGGTTTGTTAATTTCAGAGTAAACAGGCATTTGAAGCGGGTTTTTGAAGTGTTTGTTTCGAGTTAAGTGAATTATTGTAAAAATTGTCGTCGTTTTGTTGACGATGTTTCATTTATAAAAAAAAAATAGCTAAATAAATATTTATTAGAGAATTTTTCTCTGATTTTTGGCAATGTCTCAAAAAATTATAAACTAATTCATGTATTTTACCGAATATTATTATCAGACATTTAGGATCTAATTTATCTGAAAGCTTTCAACGGTTATTTAAAAAAATATATATAGTTATATGGAATGCTCGAGCCTTTCGGACAAGAGAAATCTTTTTTTTTATTTTTCTCACTAAATTTTTATTTTTTCTATTTTTTCGGCATTCTTCCTTCTAGAAGATTATAAAAAACATAGGATCGCTTCATCCTTTGGCACGAGAGAAGGCCTAATTTTTTTAATTTCTCATTATTTTTTCTAGATTTTTGTTTGCAATTTTACTAGTTCTTGACCGCGAACACAGTTTCTCACTCTTTTGGTTTTTATTTATTCTTTTACATAATTTGGAGTTTCAACTTCTTTCTTGTCGTAATCTAGAACACGTATACGTGCCGGAATAAGAATGTCGAGTTCCAACTACGCACTTGGTGTCGGTGTCGGTGTCGGTGTCATAAAACTTTTTGAAGAATATTTCTCGAGCTCTAAAAACCTGTCTCTAAAAAATTAGACATTAATCCATGTAGTTTACTGATTAATTCAGACATCTCAGACATAATTTACCTACAAGCCTTAGACGATTATAAAAAAATAGGATCGCTTGAGCCTTTGGCACGAGAGAAAGCCTAAAGTTTTTTATTTTCTCATTAAATTTTTCTAGATTTTTTGTTTACAGATTTAAACTTGTTCTTGACCGCGAACGCAGTTTCATATTTACTTAGTAACTTATCTACTATTGGTCTTTTTTATATTTTTATTTTTATTATCGAAACATTGAAAAAATGAAAAATTGCAAAATCGAAAAAATTTAAAATTGAAAAACTTCAAATCGAAGAAATGAATAAAAACAAAAATCGAAAAATTAAAAATCGAAAACTTAAAAATCAGAAAAAATTGAAAATCCCATATTTTTGATTTTTCAATTTTATCTGGAGCTCTAAAAATCTGTCTCAAAAAATTATACATTTTTTCATGTATTTTACTGATTATCTCAGACATAATTTACCTAAAAGCTTTAGACGATTATAAAAAAATAGGATCGCTTGAGCCTTTGGCACAAGAGAAAGCCTAAAGTTTTTTATTTTTTGATTAAATTTTTCAAGATTTTTTGTTTACAGATTTAAACTTGTTCTTGAGTGCGAACGCAGTTTCATATTTACTTAGTAACTTATGTACTCTTGGTGTTTTTTTATATTTTTATTTTTATTTTTCTCTATTTTAAAATATGCTGTACATTTTCAATATTTTTTTTATTTTTTCCATTTTCCTGCATTCATTTATTCTCTACTGTTTTTTATTTTCTTCTTGCTCTATATAAAAATTAAGATTGTCCAGTCTTAAATTTTTTTTCTATTTTTTTTAATTTTTGAGTTCCAGTTTCTGGATTTTTCGATTTTTCAGTTTTTCGTTTTTTAAATTTTAAATTTTTCAGTATTTCGACTGTTTAATATTTCGATTTCCCAATTTCTCAACTTTTCGATAAATACTTTAATTTTTCAATTTTTAAAGTTCTAAATTTTTTGATTTCTCGACTTTTCAGTTCCCCTATATTTAATTTTTCAATTTTCCGAATTTTTAAATTTTCGGTTTGCCAATTTTTCTTTTTTTTCAATTTTCGAATTTATATTTTTTTGCTGTTTGGATTTCTCGTTTTTTCAATTTTTCGATATTTTAATTTTTCAAAGTTTTAAATTTTAGATTTTTCGATTTTTCAGTTCTTCAATATTCCTATTTTTCAATCATGCGGTTTTATAATTTTTTTGTGTCCATTTTTGCCACCTTGATATTTCGATTTTGAAACTATATTTTAACTTTTCAGTTTCCGATTTTTCAAGTTTGCAATATTTTAATTCTTTAATTTTTAAAATTCTAGATTTTTTAATTTCTCGACTTTTCAATTTTTCTACATTTCAATTTTTCAATCTTCGATTCTCTCTACTTTTAGATTTTTTGACTTTTTTGAGATTTTTTTCAATCCCCGATTTTGTACATTTTGAATTTTCTATTTTTCTACTGTTTTATACTTCGCTTTCTCAGTTTTTTTTGAACTTTTAAAATTCTGGATTTTTCATTCTCTCGAGCTTTCAATTTTCAATATTTCAAGTTTGAGCCTTTTCAACTTTTACATTCTTCAAATTGCCAATGTTTCAGTTTTACGATTTCTCAATTTTTCTTCTCTTCAATTTTACGATTTAAGTATTTTGATTTTTCAAGTTTTCACAATTTTGACGTTTCTAAATTTCCAGTTCTTTAATTTTTCTATTTTTCAGTTTTTCGAGTTTTTAAGTTTTCGATTTCTCGAAATTGTTTTTCGCTTTTTCAATTTCGATATTTCCGATTTTTCGACTTCTGGATTTTTTACTTTTTGGATTTTCAGTGTTTCGTCTTTAAATTTTGGATTTTTCAGTTTTTTGACTGTTTAATATTTCGATTTCTGTTTTTCAACTTTTCGAAACTTTATTTTTTGATTCCTCGACTTTTCAGTTCGTCTATATTTAAATTTTTGAATTTTCCGAATTTTTTAAAATTTGATGTGCCAATTTTTCTTTTGTAAAATATTTCCGTTCTTTTGCGTTTTGCGTTCTTCAAATTGCCAATGTTTCAGTTTTACGCTTTCTCAATTTTTCTTCTCTTCAGTTTTACGATTTTTAAGTATTTGGGTTTTTCAAGTTTTCACAATTTTGACGTTTCTAAATTTTCAGTTCTTCAATTTTTCGAGTTTTTAAGTTTTCGATTTTTCGAAATTGTTTTTCGCTTTTTCAAATTCTACATTTTTTACTTTTTTAATTTCTCAATTATTGGAAATATTTCAATTCTGGGATTTTTGAATTTTTCAATTCTTCAATTTATTTTTCTTCTATTTTTCAGCTTCGAAATTCCTGCTTTGGGATTTTTCGACTTCTGGATTTTTTATTTTTTGGATTTTCAGTTTTTCGACTTTTAAATTTTGGATTTTTCGGTTTTTCGACTGTTTAATATTTCGATTTCTGTTTTTCAACTTTTCGATACTTTAATGTTTCAAATTTTAAAATTCAAGATTTTTTGATTCCTCGACTTTTCAGTTCGTCTATATTTCAATTTTTCAGTTTTCCGAATTTTTAGATTTTCCTATTTTTTTTTTAATATTTCGATTTTTCAATTCTTTAATTTCCCAATTTTTGGATATTTCTTCGAGTTTTGGGATTTTTCAATTTTTAGATTCTTCAATTTTTCTTGTATTTTTTAATTTTTCGATATTTCAATTTTGAGATGTTTCACTATTTCCATTTTTTAACTTCTGGAACTTTTGATTCCTCGATTTTGTACATCTTGACTTTTCAATTATTCGTTTTTTAAAGTTTAGCTTTTTCAGATTTTGACGTATCTGAGTCTCGACTTCCCAAAGTTTCGATTTTTCAGTTCTTCAGTTCTTCAATTTTTCGATTGTTCAGGTTTTTGATTTTTCGACTTTTTTGACTTTTCGATTTCTCAGTTTTCCAGTTTTTTAGTTTCCCAATTTTTGGATGTTTCGTTCAATTTTTTAATTTTTCAGTTTCTCGATTCTTCAATTTTTCTTCTATTTTTCAATTTTTCGATATTAGTGTTTTGAGATTTTCTAGTATTTCGACTTTTCGATTATTTGAGTTCTAAATTTTTCGATTTCGACTTTTTACTTTTTGGATTTTCAATTTTTCGTTTTTAAAACTTCATCGATTTCCCAACTTTTCAATATCTTTTCGAATTTTCGATATTTTAATTTTTCACTTCTTCACTTCTTTCACTTAGAAAGCTCACACCTAATTTACGTAAAGGTTTATAAAAAAAAAATAGAATCGCTTAAGCCTTTGGAACGAGAGAAATCCTAGATTTCTCCTATTTTTCTCATTACATTTTCTTAGGTTTTTATTTAGTTTTTACTATAGTTCTTGACTGCGAACACAGTTTCATATTTTCTTGATAACTTATCTCATTCTCTTGGTCTTTTTTTTGATTTTTTAATTTTTATTAATTTTTATTTTAAAATATGTGGCACATTTTCGATCTTTTTTAATTTTTTGAATTTTTAATGCATTTATTTATTCTATATTGTTGCTTATTTTCTCCTTAGTCTATCTAAAATTTAAGACCTGATTGTCGAGTACAAAAAAGTTTTTTTGTTTTAATTATTAAATATGAAGCAACTAATTAAAAAAAATGGTTTGTATTCTTGATGGATGAAAATTTTGTATATATAAGAAGTTAGTGTCATTACATTCTACTCCAGATTTTTTAAATAATTACCAAGATTAACTGAAGTGTCTTCCCCTCCCAAAATATTCATTACGTCATATAATCAACTTATTAAATAAATTTTTAGTAAAGATTATTTCACAGGTTATTAAAAATCTGTCTTAAAAAAAATTGTACATTATTTCTTGTATTTTATTGATTATCTCAGAAAGCTCCAAACTAATTTACGTAGAGGTCTTAGAAGAATATAAAAAAAATAGGATCGCTTGAGCCTTTGGTACTAAAGAAATCCTAGAATTCTTCTATGCTCCTCACTAAATTTTTGTACATTTTCATTCACAGGTTTACACAGTTCTTGAACACAGTTTCATATTTACTTAGTAAATTATCTCACTTTGGTGGTATTGTTTTATTTTTATTTTTTTATTTTTAATATTCTCTATTTTAAAATATGCTGCACATTTCCGGTGTTTCTTGTATTTTTTGCATTTTTTTTCATTCATTAATTCTATGTTGTTTCTTATTTTTCCTTGGTCTATCTAAAAATTAAGATCCGATTGTCGAGTCTTAAAAAGTTTTTTTGGTTTAAAAATAAAATATGAAATAACTAAATAAAAAAAATTGATCTATTTTTATTTTCTTGATAAATGAAAATTTTGTACATGTTAGAAGTATCATCACATTATACTCAAAATTTATTAAATAATTACCAAGATTAACAGAATTGTCCTCCCCTCCCAAAATATTCACCACGTCATATCATAAACTTATTAAATAACTCTTTATTAAAGATTATTTCTCGGGTTATTAAAAATCTGTCTCAAAAAAAATGAAACATTATTTCTTGTATCTTATTGATTATCTCAGAAGGCTCAGGTCTAATTTACGTAAAGCCTTAGAAGATTAGGAAAAAATAGGATCGTTTGACCCTTTGGGACGAGAGAAATCCTAGATTTTTTTTAGTTTTTCATTGTAAATACAGATTCATGTTTACTTTGTAATTTTCCTCACTCTTTGTATTTCTTTTTTTATATGCTTTTATTATCATCATTTTCTATTTTAGTTCATATGGTTCCTTTTCTATTTTTTTTATTTTTTCTGTATTTTTTCACTCTATATCTTTTCTTTTCTTATTCTTCTAAACCTAAATAATAAAATTCGATTATTCATATTATGTTGATTTATCAAAATTTTGAAGATAATAGTCAATAATATTAATTAATTATTACAATTAACTGAAATGTTTCCCCTTCCAAAATATTCATGACGTCATATCGTAAACTTATTAAATAAACCTTTCTTTATTTTTTTTTTTTAATTTTATTAATTATCTCAGAAACCTCTGCATTAATTTATCTGAAAACCTTAGAAGGCTATAAAAAATAAGATCGAGTGTGCCGGTGGAACGAGAATAATTCTAGATTTTTTATTTTATTCAGTGAATTTTTATAAAGTTTTACTTGCAGAATTACACTAGTTTTTGATTGCGAAGAAAAATTCATATTCACTTAGTACCTTCTCTCACTCTGTTGGCCTTTTTTCTTATACCTTTGTTTTCATTATTCTTTATTTTAGGACATACTGTTCTCTTTTGTTTTTTTTTACATTTTGTCGTGTATTTTTTCATATATTATTCTTTATCTATCGAAACATTAAGATTCGATTATTTAGTCTTAAAAGCAGTAAAATCAATGTTTATTAAAAATTCTTAACATTTCTCATTGTGTTAAAAGTATCTATAAAAAAATTATACATTAATTAATATTTTTTAACTATTGATTATCTTAGAAACGTCTGTTCTAATTTACCTGAAAACCTTACAAGATTATAAAAAATAGGAACGTTTGCACCTTTGGAACGAGAAAAATTCGAGTTTTGTTTTGAATACATTTTTATAGTGATTTATTTTCAGGTTTCCATTTGTTATTTTCATCATTCTCTATTTTAAGACACTATTCTTTTTGTACTTTTTTCCTTTTTTGTGTATTTTCTCATCCTATATTTTTTCTTATCTTATTCTTGGTCGATCTAAACATTAAGATCCGTTTTCCTAGTCTTAAAAGCGTTTCTTTTTTGAAAACATGCAGGATAATTTATTTTAAAAAATGTCCTGCTTCACACATTATAAATAAAAAATTATTGTTTGCGTGTCTAGGGTTCAAAGTGATGATTTATCGCCCGACGTGAAGCGAAATGTGGCAGTCTTTCTGAAGAAACCAAGACACTTTACTCTTTAGATGCACACATATTTTTTTCTACGGTATTAAATCAACCAACAGATTTTAATTTTTTTTTAGTTTCTAAAAAATTTTTGTGTTCTGTGTTAAAAATTGGAAAAAACGTGGACGACAATGATTTTACAGATTTTTCTTGTACTTAACTAAATATTGCGAAAAAAGACTATTTTACAATTTTTAATTTGGCGCCAAATTCAAAAACCACAAAAATTCCACCATTATCATCAAATTCGTTGTAGACTGCATTTGTCTCTAAAATACCCTGAAATTTCTTTTAAGATTTTGGTATTAACACAATTTTTTTCTCAGACAAGCTGACTTCTCAGATTATCATTTTAAGCAAATACAACTTTATTGAAACCGAAATTGAAAGCAAAAAATGTGTGAAAATCACTTAAAGAGATTTTAATAAAAAAAACTCTCACGGATGAAACCCGCTAAATAAAGTATCAGACAATAAGACGGTTTTTCACACTCGCCGGACTAAAAACAGTTTTATTTAGATATTTATGTTGTCAGAATTAGTGCCAGTGACACATCTGTATTAAGGATGACAAATCTTTTAATCGTAAGACGTAACTTCCACCGAGTCCTCGAGAGAAGCCGAAAATGGATAGAAGAAAAGAAAATGTTTTTTTTTATGAAATATCGTCTGCGAAAACCTTAGTAAATATATAATGTTATGATTAATGGCAACGTATACGAGTTCAACAATTATTATTTTTATGGAACGTCCACAAAAGGAAGCTGAAGCCATACAATTTATGTATTGTACGCTAAAGTTTCATTTTTCAGAGTTTATAAAGGCTGAAAAGCGCTCCTAGTTTTTCAGTTGCGTATTCGAAGCATTACGTAAGTTTAATGTAATTAATTTTTCTGGAAATGGAACCGAGCTTCGTAGTTGTTGTGTGTAATTGCTCCATTATTTCGTCGCGAATAAAATCCACTTTATTTCCCGAGGGAGTATCAGTGACTAGATAATAGGTAATTTAGATTGACAGCCGAGAAAAGATTTGTTTACGCCGCTATAACAAAATTCGTTAATCCCTCTACTGGAAATTAACTTACCGTCTCGGGATTAAAACCCCACTTTAGTCCCTCGTTGGATAAATAACTGTCTCGTTGTGAATGCCGTGCTTATGCAGCCCACATTACAAACGCGAAACCATTGTCAACTAATTACGTTTTAAAACTAATTTATGGTATTCCTCTCCGTCGTGGCGATTTTTTCAGCCATTTCTCGAGCTTTATTATTTTCCCCCTTTAACGCTCAAAGAAACTTCCCTCATAACAACACACTCTTGACAATCGGAACACCCGAACCCAAACTAACTTCCTTTTCAGTTCTTTTGTAAGAAACCCAAAGAATCGAAGCCCCACCTCCAGCAGCACTGCTGCAGCAACAGCAGCTCGGGGGTGCTCCACAACCAAGGCTGTGATCTCGAAGGTCTGTCCGAGAAATACTGGGGCGAAATCCTGGAGAGGACCCTGTCGTCCAGCTCGCTCCAGGCCCTGCAGAGGGCCTACTCGCACTCCCGCATGGAGAGATGCAACGGCTTACAGGAAATGAAAGTGTTCGATACGGCAGTTCCGGATTTATGAAAGTTGGACAAGACCACGCAGACGTTTGACTTGATGGCGCCGGACAGCATGGGGAGCTCCTGCGAAACGGCCACTTTGTCGAAATGATGCTGCGTGGTCGATAGGGCGCCGGTTTAGGGGATGATTGGGATGTGCTGGGTGGATTTGGTGCAAAGGCGGCGGAATAACAATTGATAAAAGCGACATGTGTTATTGTTTTTGTTGGCACCAAATTTTACTAATTTGAGATTGGTAGATCGGTATGAAGTGGCGTCTAACGTTTGGAGGAAGGTTGGCGCTGATTGGTTGGCTCAAGGTCAGGTTTGAGGAGTGTCTCCGGGTGACTAGCTGGCTTGGTTGCAACGATAGAGCGTTGTACATATCGATGAAACAACAGAGATGACTTTTTTGTCGACGTTTCATGACTTCTGTAGTACGAAAAATGTGGTCTGTCTGTCTGTCTGCCGTCTGTATCAATTTTTAACAATTTTTCGTTTTCCAATTTTTTTATTTTTCCATTTTTCAGTGTTCTGGCTTCATAATTTTCCGACTTTAACTTTTAAATTTTTTAATTTCCCAACTTCCAAATTTTTGAATTTTTTTTATAATTTTGATTTTCTCTCTTTTGCCAGTTTTTCGTTTTTCCATTTTTTTTAATTTTTTTAATGTTTCTTACGATTTTATAATTTTTCGTTTATTCAATTCATCAAACTTTCAATTTTTTATTTTTCAATTCCTCGATTTTCCGATTTTTTATTTGCTATTTCGATTTTACAATACATATTTGGTTTTTCCGAATTTGTACTTTTTCGATTTTTAAATTTCTCAATTTTTAATTCCTCGATTTTTGAATTTCTCGTTTCTTACGATGTTTAGAGTTCTTGATTTCCAATTTTCCGATTTTTCAAAATTTTCATTTTATACTTTCTCGTTTTTTATTTTTGATTTTTCAATTCTACAACTTTGCATTTTTGCAATTTTTTGATTCGAAAAGTTGAGAATTCGACAAATTGAAGTATCAAAACAAAAAAAACCCGGAAAAAATTGAAAATCTAATATTTTTTTTTCAATGCTACGACTTTTCATTTTTGCCATTTTTTGATTTGAAAAGTTGAAAATTCGAAACACTGAAAAATCAAAAGCTAAAAATCGGAGAAAATTGAAAATCTAAAAACTCAAAAAGCAAAAAATTGCAAAACCGAAAAAATTAATAATTGAAAAACTGCAAATCGAAGAAAGGAAGAAAAAAAAATAGAAACATTGAAAAGCTAAAAATCGAGAAGAAAAAATCGAAAAAATAAGGAATGGAAAAATTGGAAAGGAAAAAAAAGAAGCACATCGAGAAATTGGAAAACCCAAAAATTGTAGAATTGAAAAATTAAAAACGAGAAATTCATAAATTTTCCGTTTCTTCAACTTTAATTTTTAAAATTTTTTAGTTTGTCGTTTTCCAAATTTTTAATTTTTTCGTTTTTTCGATTTTTCAATTTTGCAATTTTTCGATAACAGAATTTTTCGAATTTTCGCTTTCTCAATTTATAATTTTACGATTTTTCAATTTTTCATTTCCTTATTTTTTAAGTTCTTGATTTCTATTTTTCGTTTATGCAGTCTTCAAATTTTTGATTTTTCAGTTTGTCGATTTTTCGATTTTTAAATCTTTCAGTTCTGCAATTTTTTAACTTCTCAATTATCCGATTTTCCGATTTTTTTAATTATCAATATTTCAAGTTTACGATATTGCGTTTTTTCCGTTTTACATTTTTTCAATTTTTAACTTTTCAATTTTTAATCTTTGGATTTTTCAATTTTGCGTTTCTTCAATTTTTCAAGTTCTTGATTTCCAATTTTAAGTTTTTGTCCTATAATGTTTCGGTTTTTCATTTTGGATTTTTCAATTTTCCAATTTTGCGGTTTTTCAAATTTTTTTTATTTGAAAAGTTGGAAAGTGGTTAAAATTGAAAAATAAAACGAAAAATTGGAAAATCGAAAAATTACGAATCGAAGAAAAATTGAAACACTAACATTTTTAAAATTTTTCAAAATTTTTCTCTTATAGTTTTTCGGTTTTTAATTTTGGATTTTTGAATTGTACAATTTTGCGATTTTTCTATTTTTTTCTTAATTGAAAAGTTGAAAAATGGAAAAATTGAACAATAGAAAAACTAAAGGATCTGAAAAAATTGCAAAATAAATGGAAAATTTGAAAAATCGAAAACAATTGAACCATTAAACGAAAATTGTAGCTTTGGAAGAGCGAAAAATTAAATATCGAGGGAGAAATTTAATTTTTCAATTTTTCGACTTTCAAAATTTTCAAATTTTTGTTTCGTCATTTTTTCGATTTGTAATTTTTCCATTTGTACAATTTTTCGGTATTATAATTTTTAGATTTTTAGTTTCTTAATTTTTAAGTTTTCGATTTTTCAATTTTTTGTTTCTTGAATTTTTCAGATTCTTGATTTCTAATTTCAAGATTAAAAATTTTTTTTTTTAATTTTTCTCACATAATTTTTCGTTTCTTTATTTTGGACTTTTCAGTTGTACAATTTTGTGATATTTCCATTTTTTTTTACTCGAAAAGTTGAAAAATAGAAAAACTGAAAAATCAAAAAACTAAAAATTTTAAAACAATTGAAAACTAAAACGAAAAATTGCAAAATCGAAAAATTACGAATCGAAGAAAAATTGAAACACTAACAAACTAAAAATCGAGAAAATTAAACTTCGAAAAAAAAAATGATTCGGAACATTGAAAAGAAAAATAAACGAACCGGATCAAAAAATTCGAAAACTCAAAGTTGAAAAATAGAAAAACTGAAAAGTCAAAAAACTAAAAATTTGAAAACAATTGAAAACTAAAACGAAAAATTGGAAAATCAAAAAATTACGAATCGAAGAAAAATTGAAACACTAACAAACTAAAAATCGAGAAACTTAAACTTCGAAAAAAACATTAATGATTCGGAACATTGAAAAGAAAAATAAACGAATCGATTCAAAAAATTCGAGAACTCAAAAATTTTTAAATTGAAAAATTATAGAATCGTCAAAATGTAAAGTAAAAAAATTGTAACTTTGAAAGATCGATGAATTGGAAAATTAAATATCAAGACAGAAATTCAATTTTTCAATTTCTCGATTTCCAAAATTTTCAAATTTTTGTTTCTTCAATTTATCGATTTTGCAAATTTTTCATTTTACAATTTTTCCATATTATAATTTTTTGATTCTTACTTTCTCAGTTTTTCGTTTCTTCAATTTTTCAGATTCTTGATTTCCAATTTTAAGTTTTTCTCTTATAATTTTTTGTTTTTTCATTTTGAGTTTTTCAATTTTACAGTTTCCCAATTTTTTCACTTTTTTTTAATCAAAAAGTTGAAAAATGGAAAAATAGGAAAATAAAAAAACTGAAAAATCGGTAAAAAACTGAAAAGTAAAACGAAAAATTGGAAAATTGAAAAATTGCAAATCAAAACATTGAAAAGGAAAAAACGAATGGAATAAAAAAATTGAAAACCCAAAAATCGGAAAATTGAAAAATTATAGAATCGTCAAAATGTAATGAAAAATTGTAACTTTGGAAAAGCGAAAAATTAAATATCGACAGAGAAATTCAATTTTTCAATTTTTCGACTTTCAAAATTTTCAAATTTTTGTTTCGTCAATTTTTCGATTTCCAATTTTTCCATTTGTACAAATTTTCGGTATTATAATTTTTAGATTTTTAGTTTCTTAATTTTTAATTTTTCGATTTTTCAATTTTTTGTTTCTTGAATTTTTCAGATTCTTGATTTCTAATTTCAAGATTTTCCAAAATTTTTCTCACATAATTTTTCGTTTCTTTATTTTGGAGTTTTCAATTGTACAATTTTGTGATTTTTCCTTTTTTTTGACCCGAAAAGTTGAAAAATGAAAAAATTGAAAAATCAAAAAACTAAAAAATTGAAAACAATTGGAAAATAAAACGAAAAATTGGAAAATCGAAAAACTACGAATCGAAGAAAAATTGAAAGACTAACAAACTAAAAATCGAGAAACTTAAACTTCGAAAAAAAAAAATGATTCGGAACATTGAAAAGAAAAATCGAATCAAAAAATTCGAAAACTCAAAAATTTTTAAATTGAAAAATTATAGAATTGTCAAAATGTAAATGTCAAAAAATTTTCGATTTCTAAAATTTTCAAATTTTTGTTTCTTCAATTTTTCGATTTTGCATTTTTTTAATTTTACAATTTTTCCGTATTATAATTTTTCGATTCTTAATTTCTCAATTTTTCGTTTCTTCAGTTTTTCAGATTCTTGATTTCCAATTTTAAGTTTTTCTCTTATAATTTTTCGTTTTTTTATTTTGGATTTTTCAATTGTACAGTTTTACGATTTTTCCATTTTTTTTTATTCATAAAGTTGAAAAATGGAAAAATTGAAAAATCGAAAAAATAAAATGTCTGAAAAATTGAAAAATCGGGAAAAATTTAAAAATAAAACAAAAAATTAGAAATCCCAAAAATTATAACATCGAAAAATTATACAATTGTCAAAATGTAAAGTCGAAAAATTGTAGCTCTGAGATCGAAAAATTAAATATCTAGAGAGAAATTCAAATTTTCAATTTCTCGATTTCCAAAATTTTAAAATTTTTGTTTCTTCAATTTGTTGATTTGCAATTTTTGAATTTTGCAAATTTTCGGTATTATAATTTTCAGTTTTTTAGTTTCTCAGTTTTTTATTTTTCGATTTTTCAATTTTTCGTTTCTGAATTTCCAATTTTAAGTTTTTTCAAAGTTTTTTTCTTATAATTTTTGATTTTTTTCATTTTTGGTTTATCAATTGTACAATTTTGAGATTTTTTTTAAATCGAAAAGTTGAAAAATGGAAAAATTGAAAAATCGAAAAACTCAAAAATTGAAAAGTAAAACGAAAAATTTGAAAATCGAAAAATTACGAATTGAAGGAAAATTGAAACACTAACAAACTAAAAATCGAGAAACTTAAAATTCGAAAAAAAATATTAATGAATCGCAACATGAAAAAAAAATAAACGAATCGAATAAAAAAAATTGGAAAACCCAACAATTTTAAAATTCAAAAATTAAAGTATTATCGAAACGTAAAGTCAAAAAATTGTAACTTTGAAAGATCGAAAAATTGAAAAATTAAATATTTGAGACAAAAATTCAAATTTTCAATTTCTTGATTTCCAAAATTTTCAAATTTTTGTTTGTTCAATTTTTCGATTTTGCAATTTTTCGATTCTTACTCTCTCAATTTTTTGTTTCTTCAATTTTTCAGATCCTTGATTTCCAATTTTAAGTTTTTCTCTTATAATTTTTTGTTTTTTTTATTTTGGGTTTTCAATTTTACAGCTTTCCGATTTTTTCACTTTTTTTAATCAAAAAGTTGAAAAATGGAAAAATAGGAAAATAAAAAAACTGAAAAATCGGAAAAAAACAAAACTAAAACCAAAAATTGGAAAATTGAAAAATTGCAAATCAAAACATTGAAAAGGAAAAAATCGAATGGAATAAAAAAAATTTAAAAACCCAAAAATCGGAAAATTTAAAAATTATACAATTGTCAAAATGTAAAAGTGAAAAACTGTAACTTTGAAAGATTGAATTTAAAAATTAAACGAAAAATTACAAAATCGAAAAGTAGAAAATTGACTAACAAATGGAAGAATTGAATTTTTCAATATTATAATTTTTAGATTTTCAGTTTCTCAATTTTTAATTTTTCAATTTTTCATTTTTTTTTTATTTGATTTTTCAATTTTACTTGAAAATGGAA